TCTGTATAGTCACACATGCGCAATGTATTACTTATACTGTATATGTATATCTCTGTATAATCACACATGCGCAATGTATTACTTATACTGTATATGTATTGTATATCTCTGTATAGTCACACATGCGCAATGTATTACTTATACTGTATATGTATATCTCTGTATAGTCACACATGCGCAATGTATTACTTATACTGTATATGTATATCTCTGTATAGTCACACATACTGTATATGTATTTTATATATCTGGGTACCATTTGTAAAGGTGTAAATAATAATAAAATTGGATTTTTGACGGGAGGATGATTCTTTAGACAATCAAATGACTAGCCGTATGGAAATAGGTTTTCTTGATTTGTCGTAAGGTCTCCAATAATATTCTCATTTCATTTATCGTCTAAAATTCATTGTAAGGATCTAGCATCCCTACTTAGGATGTTGTTATACATTTAATATAAGATGTCAATAAAACGGAATTTAATCTGAAAAAATGTTGATAAGGCCACAGGGATTAAATGCCAAGTCTCAGCGGAGGATTGGCGTCTCTTTTCCGATATACGAAAAGCAGATTTTAACGAGACACACCAGCAAAAAATGGTTTTGTACTTTACTTCGAACTCAAATGAAAATACGAAAAAGGTGAAAAGGGCCGTCATCAGTGAACACATGAACCAAGTCACAACGGAGTCCGTGATAAATCTTACAGCAGCCCTGACGTCTGACGACGAGCCAAGTAATCAGCGTTTTATGTGGTCCTTACCATTATAGCCACTTATTCGTGTTTAAGTGTGGCGACACCTGGTGACTGTATACGATTAGACAGGCATACGTCGGTTGGCCAGGTATATTGTAGTGGTATATTTTGCCCACACTGACAAGTGGATCGATAAGATAATCCGTTGTAAAGGACAGATGGGAAAACCGAACGTGGACAAACCTGGCCAACACAACATTTGTACCTTTGGGATGTAAAACCATGTATTATCACTGTTCACCCTTACGGCCTGTCTCTGGCCAAATCTACTGACAAGGTCACACTAGAAAATGTAACAATGTCAGGAATAACAGGTAAGTCTTATACTTGCGGAAAAGCATTTTTCAGTTACATTTGTATACTGGATTCAACTTGTGAAAGACTCTTCCCAACCCAAGTGAACTGATCTGTACGAAACAGATGTTTACGTAAATATATCGACGATAGAAGATATACTATTTTCATCACTAAAATTCACATTGATGTCAACAATTTATATCTGAGTATATAAAGACAGCTTTGCTGGCCATTTAGGATTAATCTTCAATAACAAAAGATCCCATGTAATGGTGTTTATTGAATAAGGTTTCTGATACTTCATATCAAACGATTTCGTTTCGTTTTTTCGTGCTATGCTATCACACTATCTAGATCCTAGCGGTGCGATTGGATCACATTGGAACTATATTACTATCGTATGATTACATGAATGCTTGCTTTGGTTGACCATGGCGCGTGCTTTGACCTCTCGAAAAAAATGTTAAAAGGAATGGTTTATTTTGTGAGAAATGAAAAACTTTAGTATGAAGCCAATCCATTTATGTCATCATATTGACACCAGTGTCCCATTTCCAAAGTAATATTATAAAAAAAACAAATCACTTTCAGGTTTTTACATTTTGGTGTGGAAAGTTAGCATTTCAGCTATTTGATATGCATTTGTAACATCGCTATCAGAACATTACCAATTGAGTCTGAAAACATTCTGTGATATTTCATTTCAACACATCATCTGAATTCAAGCTATTGGCTATGAATCATTTTTTCCTGTACCCAGACCTGATCTACAACTGATCCCTAAACAATAATATACTTTATCGTATGCTGAAAGAATGGAGAGAGAAAACAAAAAACAGCAGTCAACCGGTTTTGGAGAGTCTGCTTCATGCACAATTTATGTGGTATTTATAGTTGGGTGTCACCTCAATTATATTTCTGTTCAAAGATTTTCCCGAAGTCGGTATTTAACCGTTCACAGAAAGTGACAGCGACAATTTTTCAAATAATTCATAAGTGACATTAACCCGAAGGAATAGTCACCAGAATCCTTCAGGGATTCTAACTGTGCCTGGCACTTTTGAGGCACGTCACACGATGTAATATATTTAGGCACAGTACCGACAAAAAATAATGCAAATGGACCAGAATATCGGAATTATTTTTAAACGTTTGACGTGGATTTTTAGTGTCCCAGATACATATATAACACCAACAAAAGTACACCTAACAACACTAATTTAATTCCTGTTTTACTATTCTGATTCAAACATACTTTCGGTAGTACTTACATGTACCGGGCTTATATATCAATGACACAGTGCACTAATAATTATCATCTTCCAGAATTATCACGGGTGCTGTGAGTTATAGGTCTATCTAACACACTTCCATCTAGACATACATACACCACACGACAGTGCATTTAAACGCAAATTGTAACTTTTTCGAATGCAAAATACTACTTTTCAGAAAGTGAATTTGTAATGTTTTATTTTGAACTTCAACACATGCAGTAATTGAAATGGGATATTTTGAATGAAAATGAAATATTTATTTTTATCTCCTGGTATACCACGGAAAGGTGATTTTGTTCATTAGTATTAAGTAAATCACAAGTATCCCCTTAAGCAGAACCTGAGCACCCGCCATACCATACAGTAGCGGAGTGATGTGGCAATGTGGCTATGTATACCTATGTACGTATGAGATTCTGAAGGCAATCAGCCGAGCTTAAAGAAATTATAAAGACGGACTCCCCTGGGCGCTGTTACCGTAAATATAGAAATAGTGTTTTGAGATTCGTTCACGCACCATATAAAGATGCAATTTAACAATGAAATATGTTTAATAACACATACGTATCTCAACACTTTATTGACCTAGATCGAACGAAAACTATTAACTTTTATAAAACGTTTGATAAATATAGCTAAAACGCAAAGGAACGTGACAGTCAATCATGTGGAAAGTTTTAATTCATACACATAGTAAATAAAGGTCTACCTTCCTACATTTACTCTGGGATACGTGTATCAGATGTGAAAGGCGGAGAATTATACACAATCTGATCAAAAAAAAAATCCAGAACAAACCTCATCGCCTCTGTTAACACATCCACGTCACTAGAACTTGACCATGTTTTGGAAACAGGAAATGTTGTAGACCACGGGAAACATGAATGGTAAGTTTATCATTGAATGAAGTCAGTTTGAGTATTTGTTATACTGTAGTAGCAACCAAGGTAATCTAGATAAGACTTTAAACACTACTGACAATTAAAATTCGTGACGTTGTGGTCTCACGACCATGTGATAAACGACCATACGCAGCAGAGTACAGACATGGCAAATAAGTGTATGACGTCACCATCACCATTGACAGAAAATCGTGATGTTGACTCAGCAATATGGTATAACTGGACATTTTGAAGGTCATACAAATGTACAACATGAAATAGAGTGACTTATGTAACTGATTGAATAATGAGTTATTGAATCTTCTCGGCTGCTTTTTGACCAATACGAATGTTTTTTTCTGAGTCGCCTCTAAGGTTGTAACAGTATACATGTAAACCCTTAACATGACCGCCGAGTCCTTGGCGTGCCTCACTCTATATATGTAGCGAATGGTGATATTAACTTGTGTATTTTTTTAACAATCTTCTTTGGTAACAAGAGGACTAACGATGTGCCAATTCTAATGAAAACGTCGTTTTAACACCTACTTATGTGCGAGTTTAACTCTTCATATTTTGTCTTAATTTCACCGAATTTTAGTCCGTATTAAGACTTTGTAGAGATGACTTAGTATTTTTGTTTTTTAATTTTACATTTCTCACCAAAAGCATGTGATATTTAGATTCGGACTTTTGATGTCATTACATTCGGACTTTTGATGTCATTATACATCAGTTTCGTTACATTTTCCAGCTGCATCTATACTTACCTATTATCACATAATTACGCAATATGTTCATGACGTCGGGCGTGTCATCACACGAAATAAACTGTTATAGACGTATTATCATATTATGTCTTTTTGGACATTTCCTCATATAAATTACATACTGAGAGATGTGTTACCAAGTAACCTCATCCCGTTTGATACTCAAAATACAAACTACCTTTGGCATTACTTTCACATACACTTGCAGTTGTACAGTTGCTTTTCATCGAACATTTTTAAATATATTGTTAAATTGAGAACTTCCAGAAAAATTAAGAATAAAAAACGCAGATGAAGTTTTCGACCAATGAATACGTATATGACTGCTATTTTGTCTTTTCAAATCGAACGTTCTTCTCAAATGTCAAATCGGTCTCATGTTGCCTTACGGATGAATTTCAAATAAAATTTGATAAGCACCACGAAATGTAATTTAAATCTCTCCCATTATGTCTTACGTTTTCCTAGGTACACAAGAACCTGTCACGAGATACTGGTCTATAGGCCCCTCATAATAAACAGGCCACTTTAATTGATATTAACGGTGTACTTTACTTACGATAAATAAGTTGCTGGCGTTATAATCAGTATAACAGAGGTAAGTTGATGTTGCTAGGTGTAGAGACTTGTGATGGGACAAAGTGTTGACGATCTTCCAACTCCTGGCCAGGATATTACACTGATAACGGGCACATTAATACAAGACATTATAACATATCGACCATCAAGTCAACAACCATGGAAACAGATGTTTTAAAGTAAACATCAACAAGGCAATAAAACAACCTATATGAAACAAGTACCTCTAAGAACGGTATCAACAATCTTCTTAACATCGTCATGTTTACACACATATGGATAACGCCTGTGGGAATTTACCAATAAAACATCTTTAACAATTTGTAATAAAATGTCACCTTTTCAAACCAGGGCACATAAATAACATCTGTGTAAAGTGTGGGTTTGGACGGATCTGAGATCATTGTTCACGTACATAGATATATGTTCTGTCTTCTACTATGTCAGATGAAACGCTGGGTGTCATCATCGGCTGTGTGACAGGAGGAGTGGTCCTCGTTGTCCTCCTCATCATCAGCATTGTTATTTGTCGGAGGTTAAAGCAGAAACGCAGGCCATGGGACTACGACTGGGAAAACTGTGACAAGGCTAAGATCACCAAATCGGCACCTATCTCCAGGTAACCCTGGCGTGTACTGGTAACTAAAACATATAATGTAATCAGTTGCGTGTTCAGGTAACCGTGAAGTGTACTGGTAACTACAACATATCCATGTAACCAGTTGCGTGTTCAGGTAACCGTGACTTGTACTGGTAACTACGATATATCCATGCAATCAGTGACGTGTCCGGTTACCTCGACCTGAGCTGATAACTTCGACGTATCCAAGTTATCAGAGACGTCTCGAGGTATTCGTGACCTTTACTGGTAACTACGATGTATCCATTCAATCAGTGACGTTTTCAGGTAACTACGAAGTATCCATGTAATCAATGACGTGTTCAGGTAACCATGACGTGTACAGGTAACTACGATGTAACCATGTAATCAATGACGTGTTCAGGTGACCGTAACGTGTACGGGTATCTACGATGTAACCATTTAATCAATGACGTGTTCAGGTAACCTTGACGTGTACAGGTAACTACGATGTAACCATGTAATCAATGACGTGTTCAGGTAACCATGACGTGTACTGGTAACTACGATGTAACCATGTAATCAATGACGTGTTCAGGTAACCATGACGTGTACAGGTAACTACGATGTAACCATGTAATCAATGACGTGTTCAGGTGACCGTAACGTGTACGGGTATCTACGATGTAACCATTTAATCAATGACGTGTTCAGGTAACCTTGACGTGTACAGGTAACTACGATGTAACCATGTAATCAATGACGTGTTCAGGTAACCATGACGTGTACTGGTAACTACGATGTAACCATGTAATCAATGACGTGTTCAGGTAACCATGACGTGTACAGGTAACTACGATGTAACCATGTAATCAATGACGTGTTCAGGTGACCGTAACGTGTACGGGTATCTACGATGTAACCATTTAATCAATGACGTGTTCAGGTAACCTTGACGTGTACAGGTAACTACGATGTAACCATGTAATCAATGACGTGTTCAGGTAACCATGACGTGTACTGGTAACTACGATGTAACCATGTAATCGATGACGTGTTCAGGTAACCGTGACGTGTACAGGCAACTACGATGTAACCATGTAATCAATGAAGTGTTCAGGTAACCATGACATGTACTGGTAAAAATGATGTATGGTATACCCACATATCTATATGTACGTCATGTTCTGTATGGTATACCCATGTATCTATATGTACGTCATGTTCTGTATCCATGGTATACAAGTATCTATATGTACGTCATATTCTGTATGGTATACCCACATATCTATATGTACATCACATTCTGTATCAATGGTATACCATGTATGTATATGTACGTCATATTCTGTATCAGTGGTATACCCATGTATCTATATGTACGTCATATTCTGTATGGTATACCCATGTATCTATATGTACGTAATGTTCTGTATCTATGGTATATGTACGTCATATTCTGTATTGTATACCCATGTATCTATATGTACGTCATATTCTGTATGGTATACCCATGTATCTATATGTACGTCATGTTCTGTATCAATGGTATATGTACGTCATATTCTGTATGGTATACCCATGTATCTATATGTACGTCATATTCTGTATGGTATACCCATGTATCTATATGTACGTCATGTTCTGTATCTATGGTATATGTACGTCATATTCTGTATGGTATACCCATGTATCTATATGTACGTCATATTCTGTATGGTATACCCATGTATCTACATGTACGTCATGTTCTGTATGGTATACCCATGTATCTATATGTACGTCATGTTCTGTATCCATGGTATACAAGTATCTATATGTACGTCATATTCTGTATGGTATACCCATGTATCTATATGTACGTCATATTATGTATCAATGGTAGACCCATGTATCTATATGTACGTCATATTCTGTATGGTATACCCATGTATCTATATGTACGTCATATTCTGTATGGTATACCCATGTATCTATATGTACGTCATATTCTGTATGGTATACCCATGTATCTATATGTACATCATATTCTGTATCAGTGGTATACCCATGTATCTCTATGTATGATTTTTGTTTGTTTTGTTTTGTTTTTGTAATCATTGCATATCAATGTATTCATATGTTAATTTTAATGTTGTAATCTGGCCGACTTATATGAATGATCGAGTTGAAACAATTGCAGGAGTTCTTCCCCAAACATAACAAAAAGGAAGTCTTGTCCAGATACGGCGGTGTTTAAGGGAGTTATGGTGCGTTCTATGACAACAGACGGCATTCCTGATTTCTCTCTTCCACCGGAAAGAGTTCAGCCGTATACAACACCCAAGAGGAGTCAGAGTATGGCGCCTCTCCAACATCAGCAGAATCTGCTTGGGGATATAAAACCTGATCTTTACAGGTAACAGGCAATTCAAGTCCTAACTCTTCAGGTTCTAGTGCTTGCCAGCTTCCTTGCAACTTATCTTCCTTGTGTCGTCTTTAACATGTAGTCTATGTAAGCTACGATGTTTGTGTACTGGAATTACATCAGGTATAACCGCCACATTCATTATAACACAGGTCGTACGGCGGATGTGAAGAGGACGATTTTCATCTCCCTCCAAGTGAAAATGGTCGGCTCTGGTTCAGCGTCATTTACGATGCGGCCGTGGAACAGCTGCATGTGACGCTTGTCAAGGTGAAAGAACTTATAGGTTAGTTCACATTTTCAAAAACATATATCAGTGCCAACATTGGTTTTCACATCTTTCGATCATCACATCCATGCTGTGTTACTGTCTTTTAACCTTAAAATAATGTCTTGTGAAACGGGACGAGTAAAACTATTAGGGAAATAAACATATACAAGTTTGCTTTGTATCAAACTGATAACATGGTTCATGTACAGTTGAGTAGTATTAATTATATCCGATATTACTGATAGTTATGCAGTAACAATCTCAAATCTAAAATGCTGTAAATTTGAATTTTTTACTTTGCATTTTCTCTTAAAAGGACGCGGTAGAGAAAACAGAGCCCGAGACCCTTTCGTTAAAATTTTTCTTCTACCTGACGAAAGAAACTGCAGAATTTCCAAAGTTCGAAAGAAAACACTCACTCCTGTCTTTAATGAAAACTTCGTTTTTGAGGTAAGCGACTTTTATCTTAATCATCTGTCATTGCTATACAATGGTAGAAGGTACGCATTAGGAAATCGGACTATACATATAAATGTATAATTATGCTGTATAACCCGTCAGGTTAGCACCGAAGATATCGGCGAGAGCATTCTGAGGTTCTCGGTGTACGACGTGGACAAGCGTCGCGTGCGACACTCACTCGGGCACGTGCTTCTGGCCTTGAGGGACACTGACCTCACCAAAGGCGACACTGTATGGAAGGATCTGGAGCAGAGCCATCAGGTACATATACGGACAAAGAATGACAGATGTTGTGCGAAGAGAAATGTAAATTACTGCTTATTAAATAAATAGATATGGGATATGTGTCTGAAACATGTTTATTCCAAAATGTTATATATATAAGTACATATTGCTTCAAGATATCATCCGAACTTATTACCACATTTCCATTGATTGATCAGTTGTCGGACACTCCAGGAGAATTGTGCTTCAGTCTAAACTACCTTCCCAACTTAGACAAAATCAAGGTGCTTATTCTCAATGCAAGGAAATTACGTCAGCTGTCGTTCGACAAGGATTCGGGTAAGTTTTCAGATCAACAAATTTATTGTCCTTTTTCGACAAGCTCCTCATCTCTCCTTAAACTTCCTTTTTCTAATATTCTCAACTCGTATTGCAATATTTTCAAAATAGCTGGATTGCCAAACAGCATTCCAAACAGCGAATTGTAGATTAAGGCACCAGTTCAAATTGAAATACTGAAGATCTATTGTTATTTTTAGGAGTGTTTACATCCGCTTTGTGACTGAACACTTTATAATTACCTTAAAACCAGATTTTGTAGTAGTATGGCTCAGGTCAATTCAAGGGCAAACGTTCATTTCGAAGTTGTAATCAGATTTGATTACTTTAACTAGGTAAATGTTTATATTGTATTTTTGTATTTCTTTATAATTAAGGAATAATACAATCTTCGTTAAACTCTCATCAATTGCTAGGAACTGACGATAATTAAGGACAAAGTCCTGAATAAACACCGTGTGATATTTAGATGATACGAGACACATGCTACCATTGCTTAGATAAATTCTTTGTTGTCAAAGGAACGTACGTGCGAATACACATGATGCATGGGAGAAAGCTACACAAGGTTAAGAGGACTGCGACCTACCGCGCAACCACTGATCCCACCTTCAATGAGTCCTTCTCTTTTTCACTGGTCGGCAAGGTCCTCGACTCTTGCAGCTTCGAGATCAGCGTCATGACGTCATCTAAATCGCCAAGAAGTCATGATAATGTGTACGGCAGAATTGTGATTGGTTCTTTTATGTTTTCTCGTGGAGATGAACTATTACATTGGCAGGAAATGATGTCCCAGCCACGCACGCCCATTCAGAGGTGGCACACCCTCGCCGGTATCAACAATGGACACTAACAAATTTCTAGAGAGCTACCATTCCAGTATCGAACCAGGCAGGCCCTGGACTTCGCCGTCTGCCTTCCGGAAGTCACAGTAATAACTTTACCGGTGATATGAAAGGGAGGCAGCCCCACTATCAGTGGTATCTTAGGCTAATCTGACTGCGTTATTTAAATCGGTCGTGCAAACATAATTGATAGGTTTTATAAGATGAGAAACTGCCATGATAATGTCACAATTCTACTAAATATGTGTTCATCTGTTCAATGACTGAACGGCTGGTTTACATCGTTGTAGAAAATTTTGTATTTCATCTTTCAAGATATTAAATAAATACTCAAATTTTTTGTATTATTGTGTTGGGAGGAAGTTGATTATCGTGAGATAGGACATGAATTTTAATTGATACACAGATGTCTATCACTTAAACGAGGCATAGCGAAGCGTGATAAATTGATCTACAATGGTAAAGTTATAGTCGCACACATGATTGACCTGATGTGACGCCAATTATCCTGTCTACGTCAATATGAGACCATACAGTGTTTAGATCAAGCTTTATTCAAAATATACACTAGAAATGTCCAATATATCATATTTGTATCACAAGTAATCTACTATATTTTGAAAAACCTAGATACTTGTTGAAAAAATGTATTTTATAATTATTTGACGGACGAAAATTATGAAATTTATTGAATGATAGGACTGGTGTACCTTTCCATCTAGATTATACCATTTATTTCGGTCAGTTTGGATTGTTAAAAAATCTAGGCCCTTAGCATTACTGACGAAGTTAAGGTGGATGGAACAGCTGTAAAATCAGTTTGATGATTTTTTGCTCTACTGTATCCAACTCTAAATTTGTATTAAACGTGTTAACTACTTGTCTTTTATTTTACATTTTATGAGAATCGAGACGAATATTTTTCATCAAATACTAATTCAAGTGTTGAAGGCAAGACTGTTAGTAGTAACCGACCTTACAGATATTTTTCAAATATATATAAGGTGTTTCCCACTACATACGATCGAAATAAAATAATGACGCCATATTTTAAAATAAAAAAATATTTTAATAATCTGATACTACACTTTGATTCAATATTTGATCAAATACTTGTACAAAGAATACAACTTAGAATAAGTAGTGTTAGTTCCATCATTAAGCTTTCCCCTCGGACAGCTTCGCTCTGTTTACGAAGCTTCAATAGTATCCACTGCACGGAATATTTGGTGCATATGAAATGCAATGATAAACTTTTATGACGATGACATGAATTGATAATTGTTTTTACCTTTTTCATATTATTAATTTTAGGCATACGACTGTTGTACAGACAGGAGTACTATAAATACTGCCGAGTGATAAACGTGATGTTATCAATACATTAAGTGACGCGATATTCTCGACTCACGAGGTATCCAGTTACGGCGTGATCAACAATACCTCCAACATCTACACTCTTTTGCACACATCAAAACAACTAATCAGTCAATCGTTAAATTCAAATATTCACAGAAAATGGCAGCATACATTATCAGCATAAAATTATTAAAATGACGTCACCATTTCCTCCTCCGTATTTTCGTCTGGGGATTCGGTGTAGTGGTCATTGCTAGGAGTTTCGCACGAAACTGTATCCGAGTGCACACTTGTGGTCTCAGGCGCTGAGGTGACCAGAGTTTGGTCATTCTCTGACGTCACAACTCTTAATGATTTATCTGATGTTTCGGAGCAGACAAACTGATCAGATATATCCTTGGGTTTTAAGTCTATTTCACTTAAGGAGGAATTTTCCTCATTAGAAATATCTAAGTCATCGTCACTCGTAGCCCCGGTGTCCATGTCAATATTTAACGTTATTCTCTTCTCTTTACCAACACTTGTATTTTGTAGTACTGGTAACGATAAATTGTGCTCTGTAACACCTGAGTCTGACGCATGTTGATGATGCTCCGTTCCTTCCTCCTTTTCCATTGAAGTTTTTTCGGAATATGCCTCGGTAACCGCTGGCTCGTTGTCATCAACGTTACTTGAGCTGGTGGAGTCGTTCTCCACGCCACTGTCAGCACCACTTGCTACGCGAGGCCCATGGACAAACGCCTCATTATCAAAACTCATCGACAGTTCTTGTGATTCGTAAAGTACGGTTCCCTTTTTGTTGGTAGCCAGACTAGAAAATAAATCAACATTGTAAAAAGTAAATAACATATTTTTTCTGTGAACAATAAAGAACATACTGTAATTTAATCACGTGATGAAACAAATCATAAAACAGACCATACAGTATATTATTCACTTGATGAAACGGACCATGCAATGCATTTAATCACTTGATGGAACGGACCATACAATGTATTTAATCACTTGATGAAACGGACCATACAATGTATTTAATCACTTGATGAAACGGACCATACAATGTATCTATTTAATTATTTGATGAAACGGACCACACCATGTATTTAATCACTTGATGAAACGGACCATACAGTGTATCTATTTAATTATTTGATGAAACGGACCACAAAAGGTATTAATCACTTGATAAAACGGACCAATCAGTTGAGACTTTGAAATATTTGATTATGTCATCAAAAGGAAAATATATATGTACATGTATATATACAATATAAGATATATGTATAGCAGTGTCGTTGAAAAATTGTCATATATAAAGTGTACAATAAAGATTATCCTTTCAAAGTTTACATCCTGCACACCAACACTTATACTGTTTAGGAAAGCAACAAGCAAATTCACCTGTATATTATTCTATAGCAAAAACGACTGAAGGCTCATACGACAATCAATAAAAAAATGAAATAATTGCATTAAGCAAAACATTTATGCAAACTAAGGAAAAGAATAAACAAATAGATAAACAATAGACGTACATTTCGTATTGAGATAACTACAATACATAATGCATATTTTAACTAAGCAATATAATAAACGGGTAAAACTGAGAGAATGGACCTGACAACAATAACAACAATTATTAACGGGGTGTTTACCTGCTTCAGTTGTTTGGGACGCTGTAACGATGAGTGGAATCCATAACTTTATAACGTACATTTAACAGGAGAGTTGTAAAGACTGCTGATATTTTTTTCACAGCAGTTATTTGAAACTATTATTGATTTATACAACTGTAAATACTACTTTATAGAACATATGGGATTTACTTGTATGTTACCGATACAGGAACCACTTTGCTCTCACCAAAGACGTGGTTTCAACGAGAAGATGTACCAACAACGCAAAAATATAGGAGGAAGAAGTCGTCTAGGAGTTGTGAAGTTGTCATTACAATAAAACAATCGACTGCACTAGTGATTTTATAACATACAAGGGGCGATTTTCTATAAACATATCGGTATAAATGAAATGATATTGATGCTTTATTTTTATTGATTGAATCATGGGTCGTTTTACTGCATTTCTTCTAAATTGAAATGTGGGGTTTCATGCGAAGCAGTTTTAAAAACAATTTTGCAGACACCCGAATACTGTTTAAAGAAATTCTCAATAAAACTTTATTAGAATTATAAATTGTAGTCGGTTACAGGTATATATTTACTACGAGCCACTGTACAAATTAGATATAACAGAAGATTAATGTATGAATATTCCGATATCCTGTAATAAGGGAACACATGTTAGCATGATACACTAGCGGGTATGAAAACTAAATCTTTATCGTAACGAGTTATATATTCACTGAATTAATATTTAAGAATTGTTTATCTCACTTGTTGTCTAAAGAAGCAAAGGCAGTCTCTTGGTTAGGGTTGACTGCTGTAACAGGAGCTTGACTTCCGCCACCCGAGCCTAAGCTCTCTAGTTCCCACATTTTCACCTCTTGTTCCCTAGCTGCGTGGAATCTGTGGAAGCAAATCATGTTGGCAATGCAATGGTTTGTCGTTCAATGTTGATAGACTCACAATTTGATCAAACCAACTATATTCTCGGTATCAACCATCTTGTACCTGTCTCATACTCTGGACACATCTTTTTGACTTGCCGTGTCACTTTAACAATCACATACATCAAGTTTCATAAATTGTAAAATACTCACTGTTTCCAAAAATGGTTACCGGCGATGATGACCAGCACGCACACAACAAATATCAATACAGCTATAGTAAGAAGTGCTATTTCAGGAGCAGTCATCACATGCGAGGTATGATTGACGGGGGTAGAATAAATATAACAAGTGTCACCATTACATCCAAACAATTTAAAAATGTCAGCAAACTTGGAACTAAGGAGGCTGAAATATAATATAGAAAAGAAATTATGTTTGGTAAAGAAAAGAAAAAATCGAATTCATTTAAGCAATGTTGTGTTATTTTATTAGCCTTACAAACTGTACTGTTATATCATTCACTGCTGTTTAAATATTGACCTGTTTAAGTCTTGACCAGTACATATCATTCACTCCTGTTAAAGTCTTGACCAGTGGGCTACGCAGTCTTATTTAAAGCATTTTCCCTAGAAGCAGTCATGAATAGTGACAGGGTATTGACATACCCTATACGATATGGAGGATATATATTACATGACAAGAAAAACCTTTAATTTTGAATATGAAAGCAGCGTTTTTCCCTAATATTGGCTCGACTTATTGCGAAGTTTTGTGATCATTTTACCTGCTTAGCTGGTCCCGAGAGAGTAGGTGGCCAGTGGTCTGGTTAGTGGCAAAGAGTGAGAGATCTGTCCTGTTACGGAACGTAAATGTAATAATCAATAAAAATATATTACTTAGTGAATAAAAAAATGATAAATTACAGTCCATTTTTAAATTGAGATGACTTAAGAAATTAGTACAAAAAAGTATAATATTCCAATACTGTCCAACTTCATAATGATGCAACTGCATTAAGAAAAGTTTCGTCAAAAGAAGAAATAAAAATAAAATCTGGAAAATGAAAAAGACATATTTTGTAAATGTTATATGTAACTTTGGATGGAAATAATCAATGTATTTGATATTGATAATTGAACATCCTGAAAATCTAGGACACATGTTAAAGGTAAGTAATTTGTGTATACATATTCTTTCTAACATTTTCATTACGGTCCATGCATCGTATTACATACATTATATAGTCATATATTATGAGATAACGAGGTACTGACCAATCTTCTCAAATAGGAAATGTATAAATGTTGCAAATTATCCTAGTATTACCTGGAAATGTTTAATGGAAAATATCAGAATATATAGATTTGTACATATGCATATAAGATACACATATATCATCAAATTACACCTTACTCGTGACGTAATCAAGTATACATACTTGCTTGGCTCTACTTCAGCTGATATGTGCGCTTTGTATCCCTCAATCGTGATGTTAACTCCGAGCACTGAACTCAAGTTCCTGTAAAATTATATATTACACAGTTGATGTATCATTAACTCTACACAGAGAATAGTATAGTATATTCTTTCGCTTGGTGTCTATCTTTGTAACGGAAATGTTGTGATAATTAAAACGTATTAATTTCTTACGCAATCAGCGCCTTTTCCGTTTTTTCAAATTCTTGAGTGCTCATCGGAATCACATAGGTAAGTCTGTCCTCATCAGGTATTGTTATAATCTGCAACCAAAATCGAATATTAAAATCAATACGTATTTCTTGTACCTACACATCTAACCATCAATCCATATACATTTACACACGGTTTTAAATCACTTCCTGCGCATCGTAGTTAAAGTAATTACTTTTTTTATTATGAAATCCTGGTAAATACAAAGAAATCAGAATCTATACCAAGGTATTGAACTATATCATATACTTCCAAATGGAATAGTTACCGATACAATCATGACACCGACCGTAAACTTCCCCCTAATGTTGATAAACCTGGATCTTTAGAAATCGAGCAATCACAACCAAGCTTTAGACTTCAAATCTGAATCGCCTATGACTTATAAACACGAACATTCGGAGATGTAAGATTCACATGTAAAACATATACACACTCTCTATAATTAAAAAAAATAAAACAGTCCCTGGTTTGTGAAGAAAGACAGATGCATTCGTTATATGTAGAAAAGTTTGCCATGTAAAAGCTTTATGGTTCGAGATGTTGTGTCAGATAGAAGTTATCAATATATAGAATAGAAGTTCTCATAACAATACCAAAAGAAGATTCAGATGTATGATTCGATGACTGCACTGTCTCCTTCATCAAACAAAAGACCAGTGTGAAGCGTACTAACACTGATGTACGTAGTGTGTGAGATGGTAGGGAATCGACCGACTTACCATCTTGTACACGACAAACGTCAGCGTTAGTATGCGGCATACTGGTCATTTGTCAAATGAAAGCGACGAAGTAGCCATTGGAACGTCAAGTTTGAATTCTCTTCTGGTTGTGTTATATGACTTTCATTCTATTGACATAATTAATCTGAAGAAAATGTCCCGAAATGATCATTACATGAAATTAAGGTCAATGCCTCTTAAAAGCTTTTATGATACACTTCGGAAATCAAGTTTTGTGAAAGTGGTTACACGGTTGTTGATAATATGTAAGGTTGTTTACAGTATTCTTTGTGTTGTCAAAATACACTTGAAACGTCAAGTACACATTCGGAATAGTTGTAAAATCAGCTGTTAATATTGTCGGGAAATTTGTCTCTATTAAACTATGATTTTACCCAAAAATTCGCTGGAAGATTAATCCGATTTCTGTTGTGAACAACACAAATAATGAGGTCTTGGGAGATGAATCATATTCCAAAAGTAGAATACTAGGGAATGGAGTCGCATTTACTACGTTAACGTCTGACGGGAGATCGTCCTCATAAGTAGCCTTACCGTGATGTTAACGTCTGACGAGAGACCGTCCTCATCAGTTGCCTTACCGTGATGTTAACGTCTGACGTCAGACCGTCCTCATCAGTAGCCCTTACCGTGATGTTAACGTCTGACGAGAGACCGTCCTCATCAGTAGCCTTACCGTGATGTTAACATCTGGCGAGAGACCGTCCTCATCAGTTGCCTTACCGTGATGTTAACATCGTAAGAGAGACCGTCCTCATTAGTAGCCTTACCGGGATGTTAACGTCTACCGACAGATCGTCCTCATCAGTTGCCTTACCGTGATGTTAACATCTGACGAGAGACCGTCCTCATCAGTTGCCTTACCGTGATGTTAACGTCTGACGAGAGACCGACCTCATCAGTTGCCTTACCGTGATGTTAACGTCTGACGTCAGACCGTCCTCATCAGTAGCCTGATCGTGATGTTAATGTCTGACGAGAGACCGTCCTCATCAGTAGCCTTACCGGGATGTTAACGTCTGACGAGAGACCGTCCTCATCAGTTGCCTTACCGTGATGTTAACGTCTGACGTCAGACCGTCCTCATCAGTAGCCTGATCGTGATGTTAATGTCTGACGAGAGACCGTCCTCATCAGTAGCCTTACCGGGATGTTAACGTCTGACGAGAGACCGTTCTCATCAGTAGTCTTACCGTGATGTTAACATCTGACGACAGACCGCCGTCGTCAGTAGCCTTACCGTGATGTTACCGTCTGACGAAAGACCGTCCTCATCAGTTGCCTTACCGTGCTGTTAATGTCAGACGGGAGATCGTCCTCATCAGTTGCCTTACCGTGATGTTAACGTCTGACGTCAGACCGTCCTCATCAGTAGCCTGATCGTGATGTTAATGTCTGACGAGAGACCGTCCTCATCAGTAGCCTTACCGGGATGTTAACGTCTGACGAGAGACCGTCCTCATCAGTATAATTACCGTGCTGTTAATGTCTGACGTCAGACCGTCCTCATCAGTAGCCTGATCGTGATGTTAATGTCTGACGAGAGACCGTCCTCATCAGTATAATTACCGTGATGTTAATGTCTGACGAGAGATCGTTCTCATCAGTTACCTTACCGTGATGTTAATGTCTGAAAAGAGACCGTCCTCATCAGTTACCTTACCGTGATGTTAATGTCTGAAAAGAGACCGTCCTCATCAGTCACTGACACAGTTAGATGGTACGAGTCTGACTCCAATGTGCTTTTCAAGCGTAACCTTGCGTTGCCGTCCAGGAAGAATGGAAGTTTGGAGTTATTTTCAAGACGGTAAGAAATAGTGCTGTTTTCGTCAGGGTCAATGGCCTGTTTACAAAAACAAAATGAAAATGTGAATCTTCTAAACCATCAACAGATATGACCTTTAAAAATGTAGAGATTAACACTAAAATATCAACACATATATTATAAAGACATTGAAAACAACACCACAAACCTGTAGTTCTGCCACTTTCGCTGCTAGTTGCAGACTTTTTGGTACTCTGTACACAGTCTTAGTATCTGTAGGGAAGCGGGGAGGGTTGTCATTCACGTCCCCAACGTTGACAATTACTTCGACCTGACCAAGGGAGTCTGTAACAGAGGATGGACATAATAAAGTGCAACAAGGGATGGAAAGATAAAAACGACTGTATGATCCAAGTAGGTAAAATCTTCTAATTAATATCTTTTGGTACAAGGGAGACAACTCTTTGTTTTCTGTTACAAACGTTAAATATGGCCGACAATACACCTATACAGGCGTCACCATTTCTCAGATACATACCATCAGAAGGACATACTTAACTATTGATGCATAACACCTCTTCCTGTATATCATTTCTTAAAGGTGATTGTATCTACATATGTACATATACGTTTACAGCTGTACATGTCGCGTGTTCAAGTGTTTAGTTTTCAAAAAATTATACTTTCTTTGGAAACATTAGCTCGGAAAAACTTAAATTTTAATCAACATATAAACTATATTTGCCTGTAAACAGTCTTCACATTAGAATATAAATAAACAAGTGAGTTATATATCATAACGAAATGTAGGTGAAATAATACACTTAATTACATATCATAGATAACACAACCTCGCCGATGTATAACGATTCCTTTTATGATTTATATCTTTATGTATGTATTAACGGGCGGTATGCATATTTGCTATACTCCAATGGACAATATATACACGAACACCTTCAATCTTCAACTGATAATCTTTTAAATTGTCATTTCGCTTTAAGTACCTGTTCATAGATCAGTTCACATTTGCACATTTTTATTTCCTTGCGGTTTGACATCCACGTTAACAACGTGTTTGGAAAATGATTTCGCATATTACAAAAGATATCAATATTGAATATCTAAAATAAACATATTAGCATGTTACCATCGATTGATCGTTTTGATCTCTGACCACTGCGTATGACCTCTGCAGACACGTGTAGAGTGTAGGTGTTCTCCCGTTCTCTGTCAAGACTTTCAGAACAGTAAACTTCTCCTGTCATTTCATTCACATTAAATGCCGTCTCTAAAAAGTAAACAGAACCTCGCCATATTTACACAATTACAAGAACTGAAAGCAAACCAAGACAAAAGGGATGACTTTAGAAGCAGACACAAACCTACTAACCAACGTTTGGTGGTATGAATGGGGTCAAAATAAAGATTCTTCTTAATACAGAAACGCTATTACAGTACAGCGGGTAATTTTCGAGGATCAAAATTATCGCGATTTCCATTTTAATACGACTGTATTATACTTTCAGGGATTAAAATCTTATACAAACGTCTCATTATTTCACAGATCAAATTTTCGCGACCACTTAAATGTACCGCAAAATAGCGAAAATATACGGCTATACTGTATTATATATATGATGACTACACATATACTTTATATTACAATATCTTTCCATACCACTACTGCATTTTCTACGGGTGAAAATATCACGGAAAATTTGACACGTATCACTCATTAATCAAACGTTTTAAAATATCACGGAAGAAACATTATTAGCTAATTATGTTTCTTGATGCGATCTGAATAATATACTTTTTTTTTTATAAATCATGCATGTTCATTTCTATATCTAGGCATTTAAAAGGGAATATACAATTCATTAATATTCACACTGTTTCTTCTACGTCGTGCGTTATCACACCGAGTCTAACATAAAAGTGTAATTATGAACAAACTAACCGATAAGACATACTATGCAAATTACTCATGTGTAATCGATAATATTTTCAATCACTCGATATTGAAAATAAAGAGTCCTTTCCTGTTTCTGACCTATATTGATTTTGCTCAGTCACATTCCGAGTCCATTAAAATTACTGACGAATCCAAGAAGAATTAAGTTAGTGTATAATGTAGTTAAATTGTTTCAACATACTGTATCTTATTCTAAACTTTACAAATCTATTGAAGTCGGATATTTTCTTGTGTACCGCTCGAACACAATTCTGTACATATACTGATAGGTAACATACTACAGTAGGATATAGATTATGGACCAGTTGTCAAATTGTGAAGAGAATACATCAATAAGTACGATAATGCTACCCGTTACCTGGTGGTTGAACTGAGATAAGGGTATAGTGGACTGGAATTCCAGACAACTCCTCAGTAGTATTTAGATCTAAGAACATCCCACCAGGACCGTTTTCCATTATATCGGCGCTAAATATATTTTGGCTGAAGCTGGCAGGTTCATTCCTCATCTGAATGACGACCTGAAGAAATAGAATTTGGTATATTATAACTCCTCCTTTAAGTTCCTGATCACTTTTAATTGTATAACACAGCTTAAGTATAATGGCTATTTCTCAGTTAACTCTCTACTCCACGATGTCTCCCTACCACACGATGTATATTTACCACGCAATGTCTGTCTACCACGCAATGTCTCTCTACCACGCAATGTCTGTCTATCACTCAATATCTCTACCACGCAATGTCTGTCTACCACGCAACGTCTGTCTACCACGCAACGTCTGTCTACCACGCAATGTCTGTCTACCACGCAATGTCTGTCTATCACGCAATGTCTCCCTACCACATAATGCTTCTTTACCACGCCATGTCACTCGACCATGTGATGTATCTGTACCACGCGATGTCTCCCTACTACATAATGCTTCTTTACCACGCCATGTCTCTTTACCATGCGATATATCTGTACCATGCGATGTCTCCCTACTACATAATGCTTCTTCACTAGGTCATGTCTCTCTACCATGCGATGTATCTGTACCACGCGATGTCTCCCTACTACATAATGCTTCTTTACCAGGCCATGTCTCTCTACCGTGCGATATATCTGTACCACGCGATGTCTCCCTACTACATAATGCTTCTTTACCAGGCTATGTCTCTCTACCATGCGATGTATTTGTACCACGCGATATATCTGTACCACAGGATGTCTCCATACTACAAAATGCTTCTTTACCACGCCATGTCTCTCTACTGTGCGATATATCTGTACCACCCGATGTCTCCCTACTACATAATGCTTCTTTACCAGGCTATGTCTCTCTACCATGCGATGTATCTGTACCACGCGATGTCTCTCAACCACACGTTTTTTCTCTTCCACACCATGTTTCGCTACCACACGATGTCTTTCTCCCATGTGATATATCTCCACCTTGTCTTCTGCCATACGATATCTCTTTACCACATGGTGTCTTCCTCCAACGCAATTTATCTCTACCGTGCCTCATGACTGTTGTATTCATTATTAAACTACAGTGCGATGATTGGTGTGTTTCGACAGACCGATACCGTTTACCTCTTTGGTATTGTTTTGATTATGGTAGTTACAATATATACATATACATAAGGGTATGACATTTTCAGAAGGTATTATCATTTGCATACTGTATCTATAAGAAAGAAAATGCAAACAATATTGAATTATATATGTCAGTAAAGTATTCTCTACATACTACTGCCGTGTCTGTCAAATTGGCGTCCTCTGCCTTCACCGTCAGCACGTATGTGGGCTTCTGAGAGTCCACCATCGACTTACATAGAGATATCTCACCAGTGTTATTACCAATGCAGAAGGTATTAGTCGGGCCGTCTACAGAAGATAAAAGCCTTGCATTATAGATAAAGGATGTGTCTAGCCACTTAGGAAAAACAATAAAATGAATAAACCACTCGTTGTATCAGTCAAGAATGTATCTGACACTTAATGGTGTCATGTTAACAAAATATTATGTAAATAACGATTTAGAATGCATCTAGTACTTTATGCAGATCACTTATTTCAGTAGATCTTAATACTATGTTCATTATTTATAAGTTTTTAATTCTTTTACGTAGAAATTTCAAATATTTCTAAAATTTCAGTGTTGACGAAATACAACTTAAAACGAAGTTTTTATTTTATTTTTGTTTTGTTAAAACCACACTAGGGCGACACAATTTATGAAGAAACGTTTGTACTACACAAATTCATGAACGAATCGCAAACATAGATATACATTTAATGTATCCAAATAAATTTGAAGAAAACGTAGATTTAAACATGATAGCTCTGGTTTCTGAATATTCATGATGCTTAAGTACATAAATTGCCTAGATACATTGTTACTAGGCAGTATTCTATGGCGTTATAACAAAGGTGACTATACGTCATCATAATTTAATTGGAGATAATTATTCTTTTAAACAATACTGTCTAGTCCCGGCCTGATAAATTAGTGCATTTCACTTCCTTTTCTTTAAATGGGATTTTCCTGAATATAGTTTATATTTAATCGGGAAAAATAAATGCTTTCTTTGCTTTGTCGTACAGATTTTCCGATGTAATAACACTCGCTCCATCCTGGGCATGAAATCCAGTATATAGAATTTTTAGAGTCAAAATACATCTTACATCCATAGTGAATTTGGTACCTCTAAAATAGTGCTATCCCCCTCTTCCACAATATGCATAGACAATTTATGCAGTTAAGCATAACGAAGATTCAGATATAAAAGCACTAATGCTTAACCAACATGTTCTTCAAGTTTATTTTGATATTAAATATAGAATTATAGATATGTATTGATTCATAAATGTGAGGTTATGAAACAGGAAATCGATTCTTACTGGAAATCATGTAAGTGATACCAGTATCTCCGGCTGTCACGTTCAACACTGTGGTATGTAGAGGTATGAAAGGAGACATGTACACGTTGTATAAGCGGCTTGTGAACTTAGGGGCTGTATCAGGCACATCAATTATAGTGATTACCAAGGTCACATTTGAACTTCGCATTGGTGACCCCAAATCACGTGCTTCCAGGGTCAAATTATACGTGTTCTTCGTTTCAAAATCAACAAGTCCGGACTTCCAAATAGTCCCATCTATATTCGGAAAAGGATAATAAAAAACATGAATTTTTGAAGCGCCAACACAAAAAGAAGAAATACCAAAATTGGGATAATTAATAAATGATCAACAGCTAAGCAGCAAGAGAAAGAAACACCAAAAGCGATATCTGCCTGAAAGTATAAAAATTGATAATAGACGCGATAAATACTAATTCATTTATACTTCTTAATATCTTTATAACAGATAAAGGAAGTGCATTCCAAGCATCAAAAAAATTTCAGACAATGCACCAACCGTAACTGATTATGAGATCTCTACATGGTATTGTAAATTTGGACATTTATTATCAACCACTTGTGAAAAAGTCTTGTACTCAAAGTGTAATCTGTTCCAGTACAGGTTATAATATATGCATTAAACTACATGTACCTTATAACTGTAGCAATCAACCTACCGATAGGATCGATGTAGAAGGGAATGTTGCTATCTTGTATACTGTATACAATCGTTCCGTTATCACCCATGTCGTCATCCGTTGCTGTTACGTTACAGATCTGTAAATAATTCAATTAAATGTCACTCCGTTGCTTTCTTATATACCCCTGCCTACAGCAGTGTAAGATGTCTGTTGCTGCGATAACACAATAAACGTCTTTTCAACAACACAAATACCACAACACAACGATTTCATACACTACCAATAAATTAATGTTGTGTCATAATATAAGAAAAATAAGTTCGCTTTGGCAAGGTACTAAGAACGAAATACCTGAAGGTAAGGCGCGTTCTCTTCCACAGAACACATGTAATTGTTCCGTTGGAATTGTGGCGAGTGGTCGTTGGCATCCTGTATCTCCACTCTAACGAAGGCCGTAGCGCTGAGAGGTGGTGTCCCTTCGTCTTCAGCCTGACACAATGTAGTAACATCACAGAGTCATGGCAACTGACCATTTATTTATCTTTTTAACATAGTGAATCAGTATCTTACGTGATGGAATGATTACATTTTAAAATTCAAAATAAACAATGGCAAAAGGCGCCATATGTCAATATACCAGTCCATTCTCACAGAGAGTTAAAGGAAAACATTACGAGTTATTCAAATTAAATTTTATAAACAGTGAACAGTACCTGCACAATCAGGTCGACGTATGAGTTTTCCTCACGATCAAGTGTCCCGTTAATCGTAAGATGACCCGTCGAGCTATTTATACTAAAAACGTGACCTAACAGGAAGTAGAATGCAGTTGATTAGTAGTGAAAATAAAATTGATAGTGTATATTGTATGTGTAAAAGGAAAAGGTTATGTGCATAGTCTCCCTGTTTAAATGTGATTAATTACATATGAACAGATGTTAGTTTTAACTAAGGTGGCTATCTAAACATGTATGATAATTGAAGATAAGGTATTCATAAGCACATTTCAATTTTAAAGTGAGGTATTGATACAAATGTAACTTGTAATATAAGTTATTCATGTACATATGTATACCTCAGTAAACATGACAAATGATATATTCAACATATATACCTTTAAGACATTTTATATCATTAAATTTGTAATATTTCAGTCTGTTGTGTATATCTCATATACAAGGTGTAGACCAGAATAATATTTAATACATATGATACCTGTATAGTTATATAGACTGTATTGTATTGTAGCATTGTTTCCGGCGTCCTTGTCAGTTGCATTAAAAGTTCCAATGTCTGACATGGCATAGGTGTCCTCCATTACATAAATGACGTGTGATAGTTTCTGGAATTGTGGCGAATTATCATTGACGTCAGTTACGTGAATGTTGACCTGTGGACACATGTTCAGTGTAAATACAAAGCACACGAACTGGTGTATCATATTTCATGAAGGATAACTTTTTTTTGTTAATGCATTAACGCATTAAACAGCTTGCAGCTCACATGGGTATATGGATATCAACACGATATGGAGGGATTCGAGGAAGTTAATTCGATTTTGCTAGTATATTCTTGACATTAATACTATTCAGGAATCCCAGAAAGACCATGATTATACTTATCATACATTACTTGCAGTACTCATAGGCTGTTGGCGATCCATTAGCTCGTTATAAACAGCTGACTTTTTAAATGTTACAATGCTATGGTTATATGAACGTGTGTGTCGTTTGTATAATCATAGAAACAAGATGGATCTTCGTTTATTCTTTAAATATTGAATATTTACCCGTCTTCTTTTCTCTTCTTTACACAGAGTTTGCAATTAATTATATGAACTATGAAAATCCTCTAAAGTAGTGGAAATAAAAAATCTTTAACTATCAAACACGAGGAGGTCGCCTGTCGACCATTTCATTTTTCTTAGAAACCTCAGATGGAAAGTGCACAAAGGAGTAAGGGTAGATACGTATGAAACTTCAGAATCATCTGAACAGTGTTTCTCAAGATAAAGCGAATACAATCTTTCAATGTGAAAATTTATGACGGCCATTTTGTCTGATTAGTCAAAAAAAGAAAATGAGAACAGCACATTTAAGACGAATAGAAACCATCATGTGAAACTTGAAGAAGATCGATTCAATTCTTCTCAACGAACTTTCACTATCTAAATCCAAAATGGTCGCCAGACTACATTTTGTTCTTCTGATCTGTCTCTATATCGAATGGGCACTACCATGGACATGCATAACCTATTATCAAATTTGCGACAAATCAGTGTTTCTCAAGAAATAGCGATAAGGATAACGAAAACCAAGACAACCGCTTGTCAGCAATTGTTTTTACGATCAGTCCAAACACGAACATGTACAACTGGGGACTTGGGGGAACCTACATATTCAGTAGTACTGCAGAAATAGCGATAAAAATATATGACTTTCGAAAGTAAAGATGGCCACTTGTCGATTTTATTCAGATGGTGGGCAAATAGATATGATTCGTTAGGTAATTGAGTCCGCAGCTCTAAAAACATTGAATATATAAAGATAAATGTTTACCATCAAAATAACAATATTTGCGTTTCACGTATTAGTATATGGAATTTAAAAATAGATGATTCAGTGCTATTTGGTTTTAGAGGAATCATAACGATAAGGGATAATGATACGTTAAAAGGGTCGAGTCGTGTATTAGGTAAACATGTATTATTACGAACCATTGCAAAAGCAGTTCTCTCTGGAGTTTTCCCGTCCGTCACTTGAACGGCAAAGTAGTGCCATTCATTTTTCTCTCGATCTAGTTCAGTATTGAGTTTAAGCATTCCCTGTAAATGAATGCATTTATTAACATTTCTATCAACATATTTAAAGCAAACGTTGCTATTTCACACAAGCAAACAATGTTTCATAGTGTAAATATGTTCATAACTATGGTCAGGACCAACGTTTCTATTTGTTTTTATATATTAAAAAAACCCATGTAAATCTCAATATAGACTAATGTTTGCCAATCTCAAATTAGATTGTTTGAAGAGTACATTCTGTTTTTGTGTTATGGATCAATAACATGAATTAATTAAAAGTTAATCATTATATCAGGGTGCAATATTTAAACATCTATAACGACTTTTTTCTTCGATTGCATAGTCGCATGGAATTAACTAAACGTGCTGTTCCAAAACGACGTCGAATTTTTAATGTTATGGTATGATATGAAACATGTAACTAAAACTGGTTTTGTAGAGGATCTTTCATTTGCTCATAGGCGCAAAGGTATTATGAATGTACACTGAGTAAGTCGGTTGACAATACCAATACTTCTCAACTATCCGCATTCTGTTGGCTGATATCATTAAATTTTGTATCAGTCGATACTCTTTTACACACCAAGACAATCTACAGCTAGTGATATCCATGCCTACCTCGTAAAAATATAAACTTAAAAGTTAATTTCTAAAAATGTATATCACGTGGGTGTTACTTCATGCAATACTCACCGAATCCCGGTCAAGTAAGACAATGTCGGTAGGTATGACTAGAGAGTATGATAAGTGGTAATTTGTAACATTAGGCATCAACGCTGTCACCACTCCCACTGTAGATCCTACACAAAATGAATGGACTGTATTTGTACATATTCCAATTAATAGCAATATACTTACATGTAACATCTATATTTAAAGTTTGTCAAGTAAGCTGGCAGGCAATGGCAGTGGCTTTGTATAGACATCATTTATAATAAATACGTGATATCTTCAAGAACACTTCTTATTAACTTGTGGTAATGTATCATGTGTTGACAGTTTGACTCCACATCTCTGAGTCTCGGTGGAATTAAAAAAAAAGCAATTGCTATCAGAACTGTTATTGTTATAGGAAATTACGAGCTCTACTGTATTAACAACTATATATTATGTACGTAAGATGAAAATATTATCCAACCGTTAGATGTTGCCTCGGAAACGTTGAAGTTATACATAGTGTGGTCGAATGCTGGGTTTTCATCACTGATCTGTTCCACTGTCACAATTAGGGAAAAGTTGGTACTTTTGGGTGGGCTGCCTTCGTCCGTCGCCTTAATTGTCAGCGAGATGTCAACATGGTCTGTTGTATCATTCTTTTCTTCATTCCCACCAAGCAACGCATTTATCTCTATTCTCTTAGAAACGGTGACCACACCAGTTTTAATGTTGCACTTAAAGAGATCTTTTTCAGCGCCCAAAAGTTGGAAATTTACTGTGCTGTTCAAGCCTAAATCTTTATCTCTGACATACGGGAAGAAAACAGGCGAGTCAATCGGTGACTTTTCCAATATAAACGTCCTATATTCAGTAGTTTTATTGCCATTCGAATCATAGAAAATTGGATAATTATCGTTACTGTCCAAAACATGACATATCACTGTTACACTAGCAGTCAGAGAGGGCATCCCGTTGTCGTGAGCGAATACATGGAATTCGTATGTGTCATTGGCCTCCCTATCTAACCCCTTGCTTGTGTTCAGAATTCCATCTTCGGAAATAGAGAATATTGCGTAATCTGTATCTGGAACAATGGAATGACAAATTTCTGATGTATGTTATCGTGATTATGACATTTTGTCTACAATGGTTACATTCAAATAATAATTCAAACAATGGTATTGAAACTGCAATAGAAACTAATAAATAAAAAAAAATAATCACGTTTCTTATACAACTGTGCATTTTGTTTTTTGTTTGTTTGGTTCTTTTTTTCTTTTTCCTATGTTATAGCTTAACTTGACTCGAAACCGTTTCCTTTTTCTAGTGTTGAAATACCGTTAGCATATCTTAAAGGGAAATTGATAGGTGAGGCGAGATATTTAAAAAATGCCTGACTCCGTCAGTTTTCATTGAGCTTAATTTAAGAATAAAAAAAAAATCCATTAATTTTGTCTTATGGCATCTGTATCAGGAATTGTGATTTTAAACCTCACGACTCCTTGTATCAATAGTTTTAAAATAAAACATACCATTTTCGTTGATAAAATAGGACAGACGAGCATTTTCACCAAGATCAGCATCATGTGCCTTAAAAGTATATATCCCTGAAAGACTCCTTGTACTCTCGGTGACATTGATAACAACTGGGTTCGACGAAAACATTGGAGTGTTATCGTTGGCGTCTTCCAGGATGATGTCAACTTCCGCAGTGGCGGAGTTATGACCATCCGATGCTCGGATGGTGAGGGTATAGTTGTCCTTCTGCTCTCGATCTAACCCTCCAATTACTATTATTTCACCTGAAATAATGAACATATAATATCCATGAATCCTCACTCTATGGACTTTTACTCTTTGTACTGCATATGACAATCATGAGAACGAAAATTTAAAAAAAAAATGCTGATATCAATGTACGGCTTTAATCACGAATAACAGTGAAACATAAAAAGATTCGAGCTTTTCTTCTTTTTACAATAACACAACCGTTAAAAGTCTTTGTCTAGAAATTTCATAGATATTTATTTTCAGTCTTAGTAAGTCGAAGAATGAGTACTCTACACAATGCTGAGTATTTCTTGCATTTTGTACCTGAAATGAGTGTAAATTCTCACCTTGTATCGGATCTATGTAGAAGTGACCGTCTCCTCCACTATCAATGTCATATCGTGTGGTCAAGTTTCCAGTGATATCCGCGTCCGTAGTATAGACTATTCCGACAAGGTAAGAACTCGAAACATTTTCCATTATGATGAAGGAAGAAACGTTGTGAGCAAATATAGGCGCTTCGTCGTTAGCATCTGCCAAAGTTATAAGAAGCGAAGACGAATTCTCATTTCCTGTACCTGACCGGTCAACTGCCGTCACCTACAAAAGTTCATTCGAAAGCAAATTCAGGTAGTAAAGTGAGAGACAAATATACAAAAGAAAGGTTGGTTTCGATATTATACAGTCGAATCTGTTCGAGGATAACTTGTGTCAGCTAAATATTGACGTCATTTATTATATCCTCAATAAGGTTGTGTATTTGAGGCGGGCATAACGAAAGACACGATAAAATAATCGTACAGGGGAGAATACATGGTAAAACATCCATTTACCTCAAGTTGGTATGGATACTTACCGTTAGGTTATATGTGTCTTGTTCCTCGCGATCAAGAGTCTCACTCTTGACATAAATTCTCCCAGTTTGGTTGTTGATTTCGAATGGCGAATTCGGTGACATGTGAAATACAATACCAGCTGTTCCGTTTTCTCCAGCATCAACATCATAGACGTAAATCGCAGGATGCTACAAAATTTACTTTGTTTTCATTTAATCATTTCACTTTAGAGCCTAGTTGCATTTATATAGAATGTCTTAACAATAAATACAAAAATACCCCTCTCTTGATTGTCATTTCTCATTATATTATCGAATTAAATAATTATAGCTCTGGATACAATAGCACATAAAAACACTTGCGACACCATGATAACCCAGTGAAGAATATGAAGTGACAATATTTCATTTGTTCGGTTCACACAAAAACTTTCTATACTCACAATGTTAACTTCCGTTCCAACCATCGAATTCTCAATGATATTACCATCATAGTGCGTGCTAGTAAATTGGGGTGTATTGTCATTGATGTCACTGATTGTCACGGTAACCTCCACAAATCCCTAGCAACAGAACAGAACATAAATAATTATTGTATATGCAAATGTAGTAAATGCATCCATGTATGCATTGCTCTTATTTGCAAACCCATTTGAGATTAGACTTTGTCGTATTTTTGAATTTGTGGTAAAATTTACAAAACAAGAAATAAATCCCAATATAAAATTTTCATATGGTAGCATTACGATTCAAAAGAAAAGATATTCACAGACGACGGGCAGGAAAAATATATATTGACATGGCAGCGCACTTGACAAATTTTGTGACATTTTATGTATTTTATATCTAACTAACACTGTACTTACTGTGCGTGTGGCGTTGCCGCCGTCTGTGGCGATGACCGTGAATGTGTACCTACTGTTGACACATCGATCTCTGTCAAGAGTTCCATTGGTTACTATAGACCCATTCTCCTGTTAAAGGAAAGACCATACCAATTGAAGACACAGAGAGACTCTCTTCCGTTCCTATTATAGCCACATTCATTGTTACGATGTTACAATAGACATCCGCTCTGCTGACATTGAAAGGCATGGTTTATGCTATGATAATTAATTTTGTGTAGGTTGTCTTTCTTCTCTAAACCCTCTAAACATTAATTAAAAGCGATAATAACAACAGATTCAATGCCTTTTTCGAAGGACTTTTCATTTTGGCGAGAATAATAGTTTTGAAGAAAAATGATTATATCAATGTATACGATATTGGCGGTTTGTTTAAGAAACTATATTTTATGGCTGAAGTTTTGCCATACTAGAACTCGTTAAATGTGAATCTAATGTGTGAACATTTAGAAGACGAGTAAGGAAAATCAAACCAGCCGTAAACAACTAATGAAATAAATGCTTGGTACGTATTTCATTAATTCCTAATAACCGACCAATAATAAATCACATTACCAGTGACGTAGAAGTAAGAAGCGAATAGTTCCTTTCAATGTATAACTTCATGATGCAAATACAAGTATGGCCGTGGAATGAACTATTGTTTATCAGCAATTGCATGACCTAGGAAGATTCATCAATGAGTCTAGGGAGCTTAATGATTTTTTTTAATTGGAAGACTAAAAAGAAAATAACCCAGTACATTTGCCGAGTCATGGCACAATTTTACAGCGTTTAAAGGAGGACAAAGTATGCACATAGGTTACCATGAACATATGAAACTAACCTTTGAGATAGCAAACACTGGCACGTCTGAAGAAAGAATCCGGTAGCTAACCTCGCCGTTCCTCCCCGGGTCAGCATCACTAGCTGAAACCATACCTACTAAGACGCTAGGAGGATTCTGTAAATTGTCGTTCTCGGGAACAGAAAACCGATAGAACGTTTCGTTGAAGACAGGGTCGTGGTCATTCACATCGATGACACTTATTGTGATATTCGCCTGTGAGAAAATAACCAGTTAGCATAGAGTTTGACTGTTTAGATAAAAGCCATAACTAATCGCTTAAAAGTGTTTATGAAGATGAAACTTCGACGTGTGTACGTTTCCCACAAGAAGAATCCTCACGCCAGTGAATCTGACTATGCATTTTTAATAATACATCATTTAACAGAAAACTCCAGCAATCACCGAGAATTTGATCTTTAACCTCGTGACGTCATCAGAGGGGCATCTCCCGGGCACCACGCGTGTTTATACTGGTTTTTCCATTCAGGATGTCTTTGTGTAAACACGTTATACAATGATGTATTTCGGGTTATCTTTCAAAGCCAAATGTAATTGTAAGCTAGTGCCTCACATCGATAGAAGTTATTCGATATACATCCTTTTATTTCGATTTAGGTATATCAAAGATCCAGATATAGCAGTTGTCGGAAGATCAAAAGGGAAATCCAAATCCTTGATTGAGCCTGTTGTCTTTCAAAATTCGGGGGAAAATGCCGTAATTATAAATATTTTCAATGCGATTTGACTTAAGAAATCAATGGACTCGTCTTTTCTT